CACGCTAGCCATGTGGGAGCTGGGCCACTGCGACCCCCGGCGCTGCACCGGCCGCAAGCTGGCCCGCCTAGGCCTGGTGCGCTGCCTGCGCCTCGGTCACAGGTTCGGCGGCCTCGTGCTCAGCCCCATGGGCTCCCAGTACGTGTCCCCCGCTGACAGGTAGGCGCGAGGAGCCGGGAGGGCGGGGTGCCTGCCTGGACCCTTATCTTAATAAGCCTGGCGCATCACTCCTTTCAGGGCTCACCTATTGATACCTATCTGTCCAGTTTGCCCCAATTGCCCAGCGTAGAGCCCAGAATATAGTAGATCTCAAATAAACGTGAAGAAATGAGCCTGTTCTAGTTCCCTAGCTGCCCCCGAGCTTGGCTTATAAAGGGCCCCTGGAGGCGGTTTGGGGCAGGGGAATGGCGTTATTGTATCCCTAGCAAGGCCAGTCTCCAGGGACCTACCTGTTCTAGGGCCATCGCCACGGTGGTGCTGGTCCCCAGAACCCTATGCTGCTCCTGGCAGACAGCTGGTGGCACAGTCGGGCGTGGCTGTCATCGACTGCTCCTGGGCCAGACTGGAGGAGACGCCCTTTGGGAAGATGCGGGGCAGTCACTTTCGGCTGCTGCCTCACCTGGTGGCCGCCAACCCTGTGAACTATGGCCGGCCCTGCAAACTGTCCTGTGTGGAGGCTTTTGCGGCTACCTTCTGCATCCTGGGTGAGTGTTGGGGCCTGGCAGCCTGGCTATGCTCCCAGCAGTGTGTTTTCTACTGGCAAGTCCCAGCAGAAACCGTGAGGGTGTGGGCAGAGGTGGTTGAGATGGAAAGGTCAGGGTTTCTATCCCAGTTCCCACTTAAAAGTTTTCCCCCTGTGGGGTTGAGGTGGCAACATGAATAGCTGGCCTGCAGGCACTCAGGTTTGCCTGTTATCTTGGCACCACTGCCCTGAGAGTCCCCCAGCACCCTTCAACTCATCCTCAGGGAATTTATGGTCCCAGTAGAGGCCCAGATGGGCAGGGGGATTGAGTGGGCTGCAGAGGCAGGCATGGGCTGTCTGGGCTTAGGATAGTGTCTGGCGGGCGCTTTTAGCTCCTGGGACAGCATTGGGTACGCTGGGGACCCACTCCGGATTGGAAAGGGACTGTTGACGTTCCTGGGTTTCCTGTTTCTGCGGCATCAGGCTTCTCAGACCTTGCTGTCATTTTGCTGCGGAAGTTCAAGTGGGGCAAGGCCTTCCTAGACCTGAACCGTCAGCTCTTGGACAAGTATGCAGCCTGCTGTGGCCCAGAGGAGGTGCTGCAGGCAGAGCAGGAGTTCCTGGCCCATGCTAAGGAGCGCCCTGAGGAGGAGATCGGTGAGGCCTGGCAGGGATGTGAGCCTCCCCCCTTCCCCCCGTTGGGAGCCAGGACCCTCTACGCCTGCCACCTCTTTGAGAAGCTCTAGGGGTGGAAGGCTGGGTTCTGCTCAAAGCTCACCTGTCACTGTCCTCTTTGCTCCCTCTGTTCAGATCCCTTTGATGTGGATTCAGGTCGAGAGTTTGCAAATCCCAACAGGCCCGTGGCTGGCACCCGGTAGGTCCTTAGGCTTCCCACCTTCCTGACAGCTCAGACCCAGGCCGTCCTCAGCCTCTGGCCTCAGCCCTCCTGCTCTGCAGACAGAGCCTAGAGGGTGGGCTGTGGAGAAGGGGGTATGGACGTCCCACTGAGAGGTTTTGGTTTCAAGAACACAGGGAGCATGAGGAATTTGTGCTCGGCCTGAGGGCTCCTGTGGGTCAGGCGGTGCCTTTAGTGAAACAACTACTTCCAGGTTGCCCAGGGACAGTGATGACAGTGACAGTGAGGAGGAGTCTGAGGCACTGGGGCCCGAAGCTGAGGATGGAGGCCGCAGCAGCAGCAGCAGCCCAGAAGAGGAGGAGACGCGGGAGCAGGGGTCAGAGGCCAGGGCCCCTGCCGAGGTTTGGAAAGGAATCAAGAAACGGCAGAGAGACTGAAGGTTCCAGACGTGTATTTTTCAAGGCAGAGTGACAGAGCCTAGCGACAGCAGCGGAGCTGGTGGGAACGACAGGCCTGGCGGTCCTGGCTCAGCGCATCCTCGAGCAGCACTGGGCTCTGGGAGGTTCTCTCCCAAAGCTTCTGTCATAGCCTTGCTCTGGGTCCTGCCTCAGAGTCCCTAATGAAGCTGCAGGGACACTTCGTGAGCCTGTTTCTTTGCACTTGGCCTCGGCGCTTGGGGGAACTCTCAGCCTCTGGTGAGGCAGACCCTGGCTGGAAAGGTCTGGACAGTGGGGGTGGCGGGCCACGGAGGAGGTCTTGTGTGGGCGCGAACATGTATGTGATAGAAGAAGCCAGCGTGGAGCTCCTTACACTGACCCACCAGCCTCATAGAGTGATTCAGGGGACCCCCTCCTGGCTAAGGGTCCAGGTGGGGGACTGGAGGCCTGTGATATTCTTAGCAAACCTCCACATGCCCTCCCTGGGTGGAGGGTTCTGGAGCCCAGAGAGGGTGAGAACACTGTGGTTGTCACTTTCCCTCCACCTGGTCCCCTGGGAGCTGCTTCACTCCAAGGTTTGGGTTGTTCAGACTCAAACCCTGGCCTTCCTGCCTCTCAGCCTAGTGAGCGCCCTCCCCCCAACCCCAACTTCTAAGACAACTCGGCTGCAACACTGGTGACATTGGGGAGGGACCGTTCTTAGTTGGGGAAAGTACTGCCTGGTTTATTGGAAGATATTAAGCAGCATCCCCGAACTTTGTCCACTGGTACCAGAAGCATCCCCTTCAACCTCCAGGTGTGACAAATAAAATATCTCCAAATATGACCTAATGTCCCCTCCCACTGGGAATTGAGTGCCTGGGGGCAATGGAACCCCGGGGAGGCAGCTGGGGAAGCTCACCTGGTGGCCAGGCTTCCTGTATTCCCTGTCCAGCGGGTAGCTGCTGGCCAGGCCCCACCAAGTTGGCCGCCCAGATACAGGGTTAGGGGGGGTCCTTGCTGGGTGCAGGGAGTTCATAGCACATACCACATGGACACGCCAGGGCAGACAGGAGCTGGGGGACCCAACTATAGCGCGAACGCCACATAGCAGGGGAGGGGGCACCACAGCCCTGGCTGCACTAAGCTGGTCAAAGGGTGAGATGACACCGTGGGGATTTGGGGGGGTTCTGGGGCTCGCAGCCGCAGGGGTCTCATGGGTCCGCCTCCATGAATTTCTCCAGCTCCCTGAGTCTCTTGACAAACTCCTGTGCCTCCCGGTTGGTGCGGCCCTCCAGCATCCTCAGTGCAGACCTCACTGCAGGCAGGAGGGCAGGGGCAGCATCAGGCCCTGCCAGCCCTTAGACCCTCTGCCCCCTGGCTCCCCGCTTACCCTGGGCTCTGGGCCGGCGCAGGTGCAGGGTGATGGGCTGCCCAGTCCTCGTGCTCCCCCCCACCTGGGGCCGCACGATGCCGCCAATGCTGCCCAAGCCGAGAGCTGCCTCCCCTGCGAAGTCGTTGGTGGACAGCCAGTCGTGATCCATGACCGTAAAGAGCACACAGGCACCGCGGCGGCGGCACACCTCCGCTGGCACGGAGCTGCAGGCAGGCAGAGGGCAGTCAGCTAGAGCCCTGCTGCCTGCTTGGCTGGGTGTTGGGCAGGTGGGGGCAGCACTCACAAGTAGAAGAGTTCATCATACACTGGGTGCAGTGTCCGGCTTTTGACCTGGGTCCTCTGGCTGTGGACCAGCGGGAAAAAGTGCGGCGGGCCCAGCTCCACAATCACGAAGGGGTCACTCAGACCTGGGGGGCAGGGCAGTGAGCAGACTGCCACCATCCCACTGGCCTGGCCCCACCTAGCCGTGCCTCTGCCCCTTACCGTTAGCATCCAGGGGGAGCAGGTCCGCAGCGTGCAGTACTTCCACCACCAGCCGCTGCTCAGCTGCCTCGTAGTAGCAACGGACACTCAGGCGCCCACACCGGTTATGCTCTAGTGACCTCTGCAAGGAGGCCGGTGGGCCCGTGAGCTCAGCCTGGGCTCGGGTGAGGCCATGTGCCCACTCCCGGACCACGTACCTGCTTGAGTTTGTCCAGGTAATACTGCTCAATGCACTCGCGGGTGGAGCACTTGTGCAGGCGCAGCTCCTCCTCCAGCCTCTGCAGGGAGAGGAGGGAAGAAGGTGGACGCCAGCTCCTCCCTGAAGGCAGGGCAGTGGCCCAGGTGAGGCCTCACCTTGTAGCTTCCGTCCCTCAGGTTCTCCAGGGGTAGACCCTGCCCATCTGCGTGGAAGAAAGTGACCAGGGCCTAGGGCGGGACAAGAAGGGAGAGATGTCAGACTGTGGTGTGTGCTGGGGGCAGTGGACCAGAACAGGTGGAGCCTTGAGTTTGCATAGCACCAGGGTCCTGGGAGCCCGGGGCAGAGCCACCTGTCACACCAGGGGCAAATCAAAAGCCCCCAGGAGCTTGGGGGAATGCTGGTGCCTGAGGCCAGACACTGCCTTAACAGGTAGCACAGGTGCTACTGACCCAGGTGGGCTGGCAGGGAGCAATGCCCTGGTGGGTGCTTGGAGGAAGAGCTGTCCAGACTTGGCAAGCCAATGCATGTTGCCTGGGGCAGCGGGGCCCCGGGGAGGGGCAGCAGCCCCCCCTCCCCCCGAACCCCCCTGCCCATGCAGCCCAGCAGAGGGTGGCACCTCCACAAGGTCCTACCTCCAAGGTGAAGTGGAAGCGGCTGTAGAAGTCGGCAGAGACATCAAGGTTGGTGCCCAGCGCCTGCAGAATGGCCTGCAAAAGCAGCTCCCAGAGGGCCTCCAGCACCCTGCAGGGACACAGCATCGTGACTGGACCCTGGCCCGCCCTGCTCCACCTGGCCCAGTCCATACCTGTTCAGGTTCTCTTTCTCCAGCAACCTGCAGCAGGGCCAGCTTCTCGTCTAGGTATTTCATGAGTGGGGCCACAGCCTGCGGGGAGGGTCCTCAGGGCCAGACTGCACCCGGGCCCCACCACACGCTCCCCACCAGGCTGAGCCCTCAGCCGGCCGAGCACTCACCTCATCGTTCTGGATGGAGTCGGGTGAGAGGCTGATGTGCTGCACGTACTTCCTGATGTCACCCACCATCTGAGGGAGAGCAGGGCTCAGCACTGAGGGGAGTGGGGGCAGAGGGGGAGCCAGGTCCCTACCCCACCTTCCTGGCCCACCTTGGAGGTCAGGTGCGCCGTCACAGTGCAGGCCTCCCGCTGCAGGTCCTCATCCAGGGCCTGTGTGCAGTTGAGCAGAGCGCGCGGGAGCCCTCCTGTGAGCTCCGCGGCCCCCTCTGTCCAGGCCAGACCTCGGAGAGCCTGGCCAGCTGCCCGGCGCAGGAGCTCCACATTGTTGAGGACCACGCAGAGCTGGAGAGAGGTGCCAGATTGTGTGTGTGTTGAGGGGGTTAGTGTTCCTGTGGTCATACGGTGGCCTACCCACCTCCTACCCCCATCCACCTGCCTGCCAGCCCACTCACCGGCTCACTCACTGCCTCGCCTGAGGCCCTGGGCTGCGTGTCCACCTTCTTCCGCAGCAGCTCAGTGTAGAAGAGGGCAGCCTCACACAGGTCCTGGGAGGACACAGGGGCTCGAGAGCTGTGGGCCACAGCTGGCCCTGCTGCCCCTGGGGACCCCGGCCTATCCTTGGGCTGTAGTTCCCACCTGGCTAAGCTGGGTGCCCAGCCCCTGGGCCTGGACCGGGTCTGGCCATGCTAAGCAGGTCCACAGCTCCTGGATGTGGCTGAAGCAGAGACTTGCAGTGGCCACCGAGCTGCTGTGCTTGGAGCTCTCCATCGGCTCCAGCTGGAAGGCAAAAGGCAGCCTGGGTTTGGGGGGCCCTGGGTGGGTCCCCATACCCTCGAGCCAGGTGCTCACTCACCGTGTCCACATCAACAGCTCCCTGCAGCCTCCATCTGGCCTGGTCCCGCAGCACCTGCAGCCAAAGCTTCACGGCAGGTAGGAAGGGGGCGTGGATGCCGACCAGGGCCAGGGAGCGGCTGTCCCTACAGCAGGAGGTGAGCCGTCAAAGCACGCCCCCTACAGGCACCCTGAGCCAGCATGGCCTAGGGTCCCTGGGTTAAGCAGCACCCAGGAGAGCCTCCTGCACAGGGCCCTGGGGCTCCAGTTCCAGAGCCCGCCTAGAGGAAACTAGAGAACACGGGAGGGGGCAGGCGAGGGAGGGAAACAGGTGCACGGAGGGGGAAATGGAGGGAGTGAGTAGGTGGTGGAGGGGGGAAAGGGAGGGGTGAGGGGGACAGGACACCCACCGGCCCAGGATGCTGCTCCAAAAGCGCTGGATGTCTGCCAGGGACAGGTAGAGCTCGAAGAGCCGGGACGCCACCTCGAGGGTCATTTTGGAGCTCAAGTCCTCCGTCAGTACCCACACCTCCTCAGCTACCTGCCCGGAAAGGTAGGGTCAAGCTGCCAGCAGCAAGGAAACCCAGGCCCCTTCCTGGCCAGAAAGGCTCTCCCCATCCCCCTGCCTCACCAGACGCTCCAGCTGCCGGAAGGTGAGGGTAAAGAAGTCGATCTTGATGATGCTGCAAAGGACACATCTCAGACACCTGCTCGACCCTGGCCCCTGGCCCCAGTGGCAGCACTTGAGGGGCTGGGCGCAGGGGCGGCAGGAAGAGCCCTGGGGGGCACCTGTGGAAGAGGCTGGCATAGATGCTGTAGCAGGACTGCAGGTCCTCATAGACGGCGTCAACCAGCTCGACCAGCCCAGCAAGTCGCTGCGGTCCGGGCTGCACGGAAGCAGGGTTCACACTGTGTTCGCACTGAGCCCCCTGCCACACTCCCCTTCCCCTGCCCGCCACGGCCAAACCCTCTTTGAGCTGTACCTGCTCGCGAGGACTCTTGGCGTTCAGGAGCCTGTCGTACCATTCCCGGTTTCCTCTCTGCATGGTGGCAGTAAGGGGAGGGGAAAGAAGGGCAGAGGGCCTGGGTTACAGCAGGGCCAGGGCCAGAGGGTGGGGCACTGGCAGCAGAGGTGCAGGGCAGGGGCGGGGCAGGGCAGGTGGCCCTGACCAGGCTACCAGACGCACTTTCAGGGCAGCAGTGATGTCCGTGTTTAGCTCCGTCTCGAAGGGGCAGACTTCAAAGAAAGGCTGGAAGAGCTGCAGCTTGTCCAGACACCTGGTGGAGGAGCCACAGCTGACCGGTGGCTGCCCGGCCTGGCCCCTGCCCCACCGGTGCTAGCAGCTGCACCCACCTCAGCAGCAGCTCCAGGCGATGTATGGCGGTGCTGTTGGTGGCAGGGAAGTAGTCCCGGAGCTGGCGCAGCAGCCGCAGCGCGAACTCGGAGAAGGCAGAGAAGCTGTCGGCCAGGCTCTCCTCCTGGGGGCACAGGGCCCTTTAGAGCTGATCCCTCGGGTCCTCCCCCGGGGCGGGGCCGGCGAGTCAGCAAAGCTTTGCCCCGGGAGCAGCCTCCAGCCCCACTGCCCTCTCCCTGCTGCCCTCTCCAACCTCAGCCTCCACAGCTTCCCTTGGGGCCTAGCGGCACCGACGGCCTCGCGTTTGCACCTCTCGCTGTTCCCTCTGCTCTGTCTCTGCAGCGCCCAGAACT